AAAACCCAGGAAAGGATTTTTTTTTTAAAGCTTCATAGGAAATTTTTATGCCCAACTCAGGTTTAAAAAACACAGCATACACACCAAGAATATTTGTTGGATAAGTAAGTGATTAAATTCAGATTAATGACTACTTCAGATTTTTTTGGACACACAATAGTAATTCATAATAGGGTTTTGTTATAAATTAAAATTTGTTTTATCTAGTAATTGCTAGCTACATGGGGGAATTATAGATGAGTAAGTCCCTAACCTTGATGAGATTATTATTTTCCAAGGTACCCAGGTTCAAACCTTAAGAGACATCCCTTATACTCGTTTAGGTTTTTGGCTTGCCAGATGCAAGCCCCGTTGCTGGATCTTGTCAGTTTTCCTTCAGAGTCTCTCCTGAATCTATCTGTTCAACTTTATTTCTCTCATGCTTTTATTACTGACCTTCTGGACTGTAATAGCCTCCTGGGTGGTCTGTCACAAGGCTCCTCAGTCTAATCCACCTTGCACAGCTCTATCATTTTATTCTTTTTTTTTTTGAGACAGTCTCACCATGTCGCCTGGGCTAGAGTACTGTGGCGTCAGCCTAGCTCACAGCAACCTCAAACTGCTGGGCTCAAGTGATCCTCCTGTCTCAGCCTCATGAGTAGCTGAGACTTCAGGTGCGTGCGACCACGCCCAGGTAATTTTTTCTATTTTTTTAGTAGAGATGAGGTCTCATTCTTGCTCAGGCTGGTCTTGAACTCCTAAGCCCAAGTGATCCTACAGCCTCAGTCTCCCAGAGTGCTAGGATTACAGGTGTGAGCCACCACCTGAACCACTACCAACAGGCCCATTTTATTCTTAAATTATCATTTAGATCTGTGGTCCCCAACCCCCAGGCTGTAAAGCCTACCAGTCCCAGGCTGAACAGGCCACACAGTGGGAGGTAAGCTGTGGGCAGCAAAGCTTCATCTGTATTTAGAGCCGCTCCCCATTGCTTGCATCACTGCCTGAACTCCATCTCCTGTCAGATCAGCAATGGCATTAGATTCTCATAGGAGCTCAAACCCTACTGTAAACTGCGCATGCGAGGGATCTAAGTTGCAGGCTCCTTATGAGAATCTAATGTCTGATGATCTGAGGTGGAGCTGAGGCGGTGATGCTAGTGCTGGGGAGTGGCTGCAAATACAGATTATCATTAGCAAAGAGGTTTGACTGCACAATAATAATGTGCTTGAATCATCCCGAAATCACCTCCCCCTCCCAGCTCTAGTCCGTGGAAAAACTGTCTTCCATGAAACAGGTTCCTAGTGTCAAAAAGGCTGGGGACGGCTGATTTAGATCATACCTACACCTTGCTCATAAAACTCGAAGTGCCCACTACCAAGGCCCTTATTTTGGTATTTAAGATTCTCTACAATTTGCTCCCAATCTATTTTTTCAATACTATGTTTTCATCCATAGATTCATTCACTTGACATATACTTACAAAGTGCTTACCAAGGACCTGGAGGAATTGAAGGTACTATTAGGTGACTAAAACCGTCCCTATCATAAAGAAGCTTATGTCTCTAATGGAGGAAATGGAATATGTACAAAGATAACTCCAAAATAAGGAAGAAAATGAGCACAATAAGAGAGACAGCAAGGTGTTTTGGGAGTTTAGGAATTAATCTGCCTGGGTAGTTCAGGATATCTTAGAAGGGAAGGCAGGGGTTCAATTTGAAGGGGAAGGTCACTGCAAAAAAATGAGCACAGGATCGGAGAGGTAAGAACATATGGGAAACAAGTTTGATTTCCACATGATGTATGTAAAGCAGACCAATAACTAGTAAAGCTAAAAAGGGAGGATTAGGGCTAAATCCAGATAATTATGAATGGTTGGCCAAGGTCTGGACTTTGATATTTAGTCATTTAACAAATATTTACTCTCTGTCTACAATAGGCCAGACTATAGGTTAAGCACCAGGGACAGAGCAAGAACAAGACAGACATGATCCTGGTCCTCTTAGAGCTTACAGCCTAACATAAAAGCAGTGAAGATCCACTGAAGATGCTCAACACAGGACTGTCATCATTGAGGGGGTACTTAAGATCATTCTGGCATCAAAGTGTAAGATTAACTTCATGGGGGAAGAAATAAAAAGAAATGAAAGGGAGGGGAGAGGCCCAAGATAGTGGCAGTGGTAAGGGAGAAGATAAAGCCTTGAAAGTTATTAGCAAGGAAGACTCTCAGGATTAATACTTGAGTGGAAATAGGCAGAGGGGAGCAGGGAAGAAGGAAAAGTAAAAGTGAAGTATAATATTGGAAACAAATCAGAACAGTGGTTGGCTCTGGGGGTTGGGATTGACTGGGAAAAGGTATGAGAGAGCTCTCTAGGATGATGCTGATGTCTGTATCTTGATAGAGTTTTGGTCACACAGGTGTGTGCATTTATCAAAACTCATTGAATGGGATATTTAACATCTGTGCATTTCACCATATGTAAATTTTATCTAAAAAAATCTCTGAAAATATTGAACTCAAGTTAATGATATGCAAGCTGATGTAGGGGTGAAGTGTATGATACAAACGACTTACTTTGAAATACATTTTAAAAAGTTAAGATAGACTGATGCATGGACAGACACATGATAAAGCAAACAGCAAACTAGTGACTATAGACTCTTGGTGGAGGGTATGTGGTGTTCATGTACAATTCTTTCAATCCTTTTTGTTTGAAAATTTTGTTAATAAAATGTTGAGAAAAATGGTAAGCATACAGTTTTGAGAATGGGTTGACTGGTAGGACACTGGGAATATAGAAGGAGATGCGGGTTTGGAGCCCAGGATGATGAGCTCAATTAGGGACCCAAGGGCTTGAGGTACCCAAGGCATCTGAGTAGAAATATTTAGAAATATTTACCAGGCAGCTGGAGATGCAAGAGTAAATTATTTACTCTGCTGCATCCTAAACATGGCTGCCTCCATGTATTCCCTTCTTCGAGCTTCCTCTGAACACCCTGCCCTCCCGTGTTCAGCACTGTACAATCAGTTCATGGCACTATCATCTATCACTAGACTGGAAATTCTTAGGATAAACAAAATCTTACATAGATATTTCATAAAGCGGTTTTCAAATAAACAAATGAATAACACCTGACTTAGTATTTGAACATCCAGGTCTTTATGATCACACTGATTTTTGGCTCGGAAAGTATAGTTTTGTTTTTTCTTTCTGAGACAGATGTACACACACACACTTTTTTAAAAGGCAACCTCTGCAGTGGGGAAAATAACTTCTACCTCATAGACAAATGAAATTCCCATTCCTAAATTTTTCTTTTTTTTTGAGACAGTCTTGCTTTGTCTGGATAGAGTGCAGTGGCATCATCATAGCTCACTGCAACGTCAAACTCCTGGGCTCAAGCAATCCCCCCAGCTCCCACTCCCGTCTCGGCCTCCCAGAGTGCTGGGATTACAGGAATGAGCCACTGTGTCTGATCTTCTAAAATCTTAATATATCCGATTTTCTCTTCTTAGTAGCTTTTCTTTCAGATTTAATCTGACACTTCATTTTGCAGAACTATAAACAAAAGAAGAAAATGGTTGTCCTTATGTAGCAAAATTATCCTCGATTTCTTTCTTTCTATTATTCCAGGTTTCTATTATTCTAAATTTCTACAAAAATTTTTACTTTGATAACAGGGACAAAAAGTCTATATATTAAAGGAAACCATTAATGACACAGTCATCAGACCCTAAAGTATACTGTTAGAAACTTTTGAGTTGTGAAGAAAGAAATCAAACCAAGTTACTGATTTCTCATTCCTATAAACTAAAATAAATTCTTAAGACTCACCCCCCCACCAGCTGACTGAATGGACCCCCTCTTGGCCAAAACTAAATTGCCTGCCAGGAGGGAGGTCGAACATGCCTCATTATGTCCCCCTCCCTTCTAGGAGACATCCTTTGTAACCCATTAACAGGCCTAAGGGAATGCAAAACAAACCTGCAGGTCCTCAATTTACACAACAAACATATGTCTCAGTGGCTTGTCTCTGACTGACAGCTCCTTATCTTAAAACATTCCAAGCCTTTAGACAAAGCTTCGTGTCTTTAACCAATTACAAGTCAAAGAATCTTTAAACCCACCTATAACCTATAAGCCCCTCCCCCTTCAAGATGGCCACCTTTTCCAGTCAAACCAGTGTATGCCTCCCACATACTGATTTATGACTTTACCTATAAAACCATCTCCCTGAAATGTATAAAACCAAACCGTAACCCAGCCACACCGAGTCCACTGGCTCAAGACTTCTTGAGCGTGGCTCCGGGTCATCGCCCTCAAATTTGGCTCAGAGCAAATCTCTTTAAAATTATTTTATAGAGTTTGGCTTTTTTTCCGTTGACATTCCTATCTCTCTAATCATCAGAGAGCTCGCTAAGGTCAAGAACTATGTCCCTGCTCATATTTGCACTTCCCGGCACTACCTCAGCATTGAGCTTGGCATACAGTAAACAAGCACTCAAATGGTGAAAGAATACACATTTGACACTAGAAAGAATACTATGTAGCAGCCAACTCCAGTTAGTGGAAAGCCATTAGCTTATTCTGTTATTTGATTCCTCATTATTCTACCAATTCTGACAATCTATTTTTCAAAATGGACTCAAAGAACACCTTTTATACTTATCCCAACCGCCCCAGGCAACCGTGCTGCTAAGTGAAAGAAATTGGGTTTAGCTCCTAGGAATTCTAAAAACCAGTCAGAATAAGCAATGGTACACCTAAACCTATTCTTGGCACAATGGGAGAATAACTCAATTAAGAAAATCCATGAATAATTAAGATTGCTCCTATTTTTGTACCAGGTAGACTCAACCATTGGTAATATTTTATACTTTATATCATTCCAACAGATCTCCCTGACCATGTTAAATTCTCAGTGGTTCACCTCAATTGTTTAACTCCCAAGTCTACTTACTATCTAGGAAGAACCTGCTTCATCTCTTACCTCCACCGCACTTTAAAAAATGTTTTTACCTTTTCTCCCCTCTCCCGCTCTTTGTCCTTCTCTTCTTTCTTCTTTTTTTTCTCACTATGCCCGTCTGTGTGGAGGGCAGGAAGTGGCGGGGGAGGGGCAGGCGCTCCAGCATATGGGATGGCAGGAGGAGGGGCAGGTGTCATTGTGACCTCTCCCACTGCTGCAGCAGAAAGCCCTGAACTTCTCTTGGACTTGGAGTGTCGCTTCTCTTTGTGTTTTTCCTTGTCCTTCTTCTTTTTGCTCTTCTTTGACTTCTTTTTCTTCTTGATTTCCCGGTAAGAATCATCTATCACTAACTCCCCAGCCTCTAGTTCCCCCCCGGAGGATGAGTCTGATTCTACTAGAATAGGCTCAAGACCTGAAAAATCAAGGTTAGCACTGTGGGATTCTGGGAACTGGGAGGCGTCAGACCCACAGCCTTCAGGGCCAGGAGATGAACGTGGGTCTGAGGATGACTTGTGCTTCTTCCGGGCTGTTCTCAGAAAGCTCTGTAGCTCGTGTCCTAGGAGTAAAGCACCTTGCTCATCCCGAGCTGATTTCTTTGAGGATTTTTTCACAGTCGCTTGTTGAGAGGGATGTTGAAAAGACTCCTCATCCACTGAGCTGCTTCCCTTCTCCTTTGGTGAGAGAATAAGTTTCATCTTTAAACCATCAGGCTCACGAAGGGTCAGTGTCTCTGTGTTCACATACAGCGGTTTCATTTTTTTGGATTTGTGGGAGCCACCATCCTCCAGGGATAGTTCCCCACTGCTTCCGCTTACTTTCTTTCTGTGGTGTTCCTTTCTACTCTCTGAATGGCTTGAAGAGCTGGAGGATTTTTCCCCTGTCTTTTTGGAGGGCTTGGAGCCTGCTGCCAGTGGGGAAGTGATAGCTCTTAATAGGTCCATGGCTGTATCAGTAGGTTGTGGGCTGGACTTTTTCTTTTTCTTCTGTGACGATTCCAAAGACGAAATGTCTAGAAATAATCAAGAGAAGTACTGTCAATATGACAGGGAGCAACTTCTTACGCGTCTCCTCTCTCACCAAAAACACCCACCTAACAAAAGGAAGAGGCTAACAGGAACGATTTGAAGGGAGACCCTTTAACTGATCCTAACATTCAGAGATGATGCCCATGTGCTTCTTGGCTTGGTATACTTTGCCTCTGACCCTGGAGACAGTTCTTGCCACTAAAGTTGTTTTTCTTCACTGAGTCTTCAGAAGCAACCAGAGAGCATACCCAGAATAGACTATAGCTGTGGGATTACAGGTAGTTACAATTTAGATTGCAGACAGAGTATCATTTGTTTCTGTGTTCAGGACAAACCCATTCTGATAAAAGTTTAGTCTCATCAGCTATGTGCATAACACAGCTAAGAAAACTGGTTCTGTGAGTGGATACACACTGGCTGAGAAGTGACCCACAGGTGCAGGCCAGAGGGCCCAAGGACTACATACGGCAGAAGGGATGCTAGATAACAATGGGCACAAGATAAGTGGATGATTGGGGGGAGAAGGAACCTGGTACCTGGTGTATCACAAATGAAGACTGTTCTTCTATGCTGAATCCTCCAAAATACCAGCCCTCCACCTCTCTCCTCCTTCACACTGGTTTATCGGCACTCAGAACAAGAACCACTGTCCTGTTAAATAGGCCACTGAGTCAGCAACATCTGGATCCCTTTCCCCTACCCCGACTCCAAGAACCAGTGATGTGTTTATCCCACCTGTTGCCCCTTTCCATCCTTACCTCCATAGTAGTAATCATCAGAGGAGTGCTTCCTCTTCTTCTTGTGCGTGTCCGTCCCCAAGAAGTAAAGTTCACTATCCTGCAATCAGACAGGAGGAAGAATTAACCAATACTAAGATGACAAGGCAAGAGCAGTTTGGAACCACTCCTGTTCTTTGATGATATTTGACTTTGGAAAACAAAGTACAGGAAATAAAAACAGAAGGAAACAATGTTTTATCTTTCTTTTTCTGAAGTTTTTAAAGGACACTTCCTTCTTCAAATATTAGGAAATATGACAAGCAGTAGTTTAAAACTTTCCTAATTCAAATGTTTAGGATTTACCTTTAACTTCTTCTTGGAAGAATTCCTGACCTGAGCAGCAATTTCTTCCTCTTCCCTTAAAAAATCTTTATAAGAACGTTTCTTTTCTCGTTGGCTTCGGCCAGCTGCAAGTCCTATGTCCTCAAAGGTGTGATCACCATCAAAGCAATCTGAGAAGCACAAGTTCATTTGGGAAAAGAAATAAGAAAGTAAGTAATAACCAATTACCATGCATATAATGCAATAGTCCCTCTATTACCAAATCAAAATAATGTTCCAGTAAGTCCACTGAAATACAGAGCTAGACCCAGGGGGACAGAGTATTTCTTGATGACCTGGCTGCAAATACAAGAATCAAACCTGAAGAAACAATGCTTCCACGCTATGCAAAGGTTCCATGTGCATCCTCAGACATGGTTTCTTAGCTGTGATTTGGCAGGTGGACACAGACTTGCAGAGGTAAGGCTGAAAAGAATGAGGATTCATGTGCTGTGCTGCTCTGTGGGAGTCCAGTATATGATTCCTATCCCCAGACTCCTGCACACTGGAGCTGGCAAGGACCAAGAGTGCTGCAGGGGATCACCCCAGTAAACTAAGAGACTCATATTTCAGATTCTCGTGTTGGAACCCCTGTCCTGGTTTTCGTTTCCATGGGCCCAATCTGGGGATGACGTGGAGGCTGAGTGTCATAATAGTGCTCTGGACCATCACCTGGGAGTCCAGGCTGTGATGCCCAGTCCTGGTCTCTATATCCATGGGCTGCAAGGATTGAAGAGGATACCCCCTTTGGAATGCTTCTCAGATTAAGGGGTCATACCTTCTTTCTTCACGGAGTCATCATAAGCCATGGCGGTCCTGCAAGGCCTTTGAGAATGTGTCACTGTGTCCAGGCTCCTTCCCGTCTACAGGACCAGGTCTGAGAAACAAAGAAGGAAAACCCTCCTGTAATGCGAAATCACTGTGGAGAAGCAACCTTCCAGATGAAAATGCGTAGTGATCCAAGGGCTGACTGGAAGGGCAGCAAGAAATAAAGGAGTATCTTGTCACCACCTCATTTTGTTTGTAAATACATTAGGGTTGAAACTGCAAACTAGGCTTAATTAGATTTCAGTCATGAATTAAGGTTGTCATTTGGGGAAGTATATAAAATACCTCTTATATAAAAAATATTTTTGAAATTAATGAGAATTTCTGAAGTGCCAACAGGACTGGGTAAAAGCTGACATTAAGTCAGAGGGATAGGTTCGTTCAATCATGGTTACAAAATGCAAAGGTAAAGCAAGAGTAGAGGAAGACAGATTACACCAAACACTTGAAGACCACAAAATCCTACCAGTTGGACTGGAGAAATGGTAAAATCTATTGCATTGCAATTTAAAAAGATATGATGATAACAGCAAAGGGATATTAAGACTTTACAGCATAATTTCTTTTATATGTATTTTGTTGGGCTATGTGAACTTGCTTAAATTTATAGAATTATAAAAATAGGTACGCTGCTTACGTTAATCTATGTTAGTATGCTGTTTTCACCACTAACAAGCCTTTCTTAAAGGCTAGGTAAAAACAGGGAAAGTTATCATTTTTCATTGGTGATGAAATTTTTATGATTATTAAACTCTTTTAAAATAAGAAGTATGATATCCTAAATAATGTATCAAAATCAGAAAAATTATTTGGCATTCAAGTTTACATGTCCATTTTGACTTTGAAGATGACAGTGCTATAGCAAACTGCACTGTAAGGTAAAGTTCTTCAAATACTTTAAGGGAAAGCAATGTTACAAGTCCTGCAGGAAATTTAAAAATTACATATTAAATATTTTGGAAATGTTCTCATCCAGCTAGTTAAATGCTTAAAAGTTAATCTGATTGGTCATTTAGTTTTATTTTACCTTTGTTATTATAATGGGATTTAGAAATACTGAAGGACACTGCAATGATACATTACTAATCCCTTCAGGTAGGTATGGACAGTACTGAAGTATGAAACTTTTGTGAAAGAAAAGATGAATTTGATTAACAAGAGAAACTTTCATAATAAGAGTTACATTTAAAAAAACAAAAAGCAAAGACTTATTTGCATAAATCAGATAAAATACAATGCACAGGTAGGTCTAAGTTGAAAACAGAAAAAGAAGTATTACCAAGAATGATTTACAAGTAAGATTAAGAAAAGAAACATAAAAAAAGCATTTCTCCACGTTCCTGAGAAGTGAAATGAAGAATGGCCTTGGTCAAGGTAAGAGAAGCTAGAATAAAGTAAAGAAACTATATTAACTGGATTATTTTAAAGATAAACTGGAGAACTGCTTGCTCAAAGGCCTTTTCATAGGAGACGAAGGGGATATAAGGTCAGGCTTCAGGTAAAAACACGCAGAGGCAAGATACACAATGTAGCCAGTTTTCAAGTTCCAGCATTTAAGTATTAAACTGTCCTAAATGGAAACTGCTATCCTCCACTTTCCACTCAAGTGGTGCTGACTCTAAAAGGGGTGCAGGTAGGGGAAGGGGACTGTCATATAGGGAATTATATCCATTCATTTGAAAACAGTTTATCTTTTCATTGGCACTAAAATATTGAGTTTATAAGAAAAATACACAGATCATGTTGGTTTTCATTGATTGATAATGCCAAGAACTACCACAACTAGAGACCTCAAGTCAAATGCTTTTCATGCCAAATGAATTTTGGCAAAGAATGTTTGAGAAATAACGGCAAAAATCTTAAAAATTCAGTGTCATAAATATAGTCATCAATCTGTTGACAACAACAAAATGCACTACTAAATGTAAGCAAAGGCAGGTCCTGAGACTTATAAGTAGGCCTTCCCTGTGGTAACATCAAAACCAACATAAAACAGCTGAGCAATCTAACAGACTAGAAATAAGTCCCTCTGAACACAGTATGAGAAAGAAAATGACTGTGACTTACTGTATTATGGAAAAGCATTCATGGTCTCATAACTGACTGCTTTAAAAAACAACTAGTGGATTTAAAAAGTTGTGAGAGGGCATAGAAAATTATGAACTGCTCCTCAGAAGTATAGGCCAATACAGAAAATGTGCTGGTGTTAGCATTATATATTAGAGTTAGGCCCACTACTGTTCAAATTTTCTTAAAAACACTGAAGAGCATTTTATAAATTATAGGATTAAACAACCTGAAGAAAAAAAAAATGAATGAGGCTTGAAGATTAGTCCAATTCACTAAAGAACTGGGGCAGCCGAGAGCTTGAAAAACTAAAATTAAACACAATGGACTATATCATAGCTTGGGCAGTGATGGGCTCCGAATTTCTAGGTTCTTTAAAATCAGGGTATTATTGCAGTTCAGGGGTTAGTTTTAGTTGCTGACTCAGAGGACAAAGACGATACCAGATAAAGAAGTCTCAAGCAACAGTGTGAAAGAAAGGCAGAGTTTAGTTAACATTTATAAAAGATCAGATGAACCCCTGATATTCCTTCTAGGCCTTTAATATTATCCACAATAAATTCAGAGTTCAGGGGTAGGAAGCAGATTATGAGGATTAATGCAAATGAAAAATATTGGATTTGATTTTCATGTTAAAAAACAGGTCATAATTACATTAAATGTTGGCAAATGTAAAACAGGTATTAAAACCATTCTCCTGAATTCCGTAATTTTGGAATTCATAAAATTCAATGTTGTCAACTTCAAGAGGCAGGGATAAATTCTGTCTGTCTCAATGTGCTAAGACATGACAACATAATAAAAAGTTCATCATTTAATACTGTTTATGGAAGAAATATGCATCATAAAAATGTATACCTATGAAATGTGCAAATTGTGAACTGGTTCTTCCCGGACTTTTCTTCAGGATACGAAAAAGGGGAGGCAGAGTTCCTTTTGCACTTGTAAATAAATATACAAGTTATGTTAAGGCATAGGTCTTCAGGATGACCAAAGTAATTGGGGATCTGATGATCTAAAGTCATCAGATAGAGTACTTTGTAGTCTATACTGAAAAAAAGTTTCAGAAGGTGGTTTTTTGAGGTAATCTGAGCTGTAGCAATCATTAACAATCTTCTTCATCCAATAATGTAAATGAGTATTGAAAAAAAGGAAACAAACTAAGCCTCATAAAGTGGGCAACAAGAGAAACCCTGAAATACAAGTCTAGTCCAGGATGATAGCTTTGCCCAAGATTCCGAGTTCTCTTCTTCCTGCACTCCTTTCAAGACCTCAAACTGCCAGTCAGTGCAGGTAAAAAGGAAGATGCACATCCAGCTGTTGCCGGTTTCTGAAATTTTGTTGTTATTGTTACTTCTAGTATTTGAGCAGGTGATGCGATGTCTTCTCATTTTTCTTGAGGTTTCCTCCAATCTCTTTACACAGCGACTCCGTATTCTCTTGCCACTCCCTTCTCCAGGGACCTACCTATATGCAGCACTCACAGCCCCTGCCAGCTCTGGAAGCTGCAGAGATCCCGACAGCCTGGGATGGGGATTGAATCCTCTCATTGCAGTGCAGTTAAGCGGAACCACGACCACCGCACAGATCGGCTGACAACACACATTTCCATAGACCAGCAATAGAAATTTTGACAAGCCTTGTCCAATCAACAGGCTTTATTTGGGATTCAGTTTTTTATTTATTCTGCTGTGAAGGAATATCATCAGCCACCAGCTTAGCCATCAGAAAGAAGGGAGGTAAATTTTCTCCTTTTTTGCACGATATAAAGTGAATCTACAAGTAGTAGTTGTGGAAGGAAGATGGGCCTGTATGGAAAAGAATCCCACTACGAAGGTACGTTCAAACTGGATGGCACGCAAAGAATACACACAATACCAGGTTATTAACACAAACAGCCCCCAGGACCACCATTCTTATGGCCCCCACGGCAAACCAATGGGATTCTCCCGGCAGTTTTGCAGCAACAGCTAGTTCAACAAAGCTCTGTGAAGAGGAAAAGAAGAAAGCTCCTCGTATCCTCTCCTGCCAGCCGAGGACCCAGCCATCCCGTCGGCCCGGCCCTGGAGCCCTTTCCCCCTGACAGCCTCAGGGACCCCCGCATCCTGCGTCCGAAGTTGCAACTCTGCCCATACCCGGGTTCCCGCGTCCCTGGCGGCCGCACGGCGCCCCCGAGGGCGGAGACGGTCCGGGCAGGGGGAGGGGCGGCCCCGGCCCGCAGGCCCCCGGGGCGGCCGCACGCCCCCTCCCGGCCCCGCAGCTTTCCCGCCTTCCCCATTTGAACAGCTCCCGCCCGCTTTCCTTCTTCGGCCCGCTCCAGCCCCTTCCCGGGGGCGGCTGCGGCCGCTACTCCAGTCCCCGGCTCGGCCCCTGGGCTAGGCCGCGACGGGCCTGGGGCGTCCCCGGGGAGGTGTCGCGGGCCCAGGGCGGCGGGTGGCAGCAGGGCGGGGCTGCTGCCGCCTCAGGGTGGGGGCCCAGCCTGGCCTCGTGGGGGCTCCGCTCGCCGCTACCTTCACTCGGCTCGCCCGGATCCCGCCTCAGCGCCGCCGACAGCCGCCATCTTGGAGAAGGAGAGAAAAGCGCGAGCCGCCAGGGAGCCTCAGTCGAGCGCAGAGCGCAGACTCCGGCTCAGGAGGGGGAATCCCGTTAGAGAAAGAACGCCGAACGCATCGAATGAAACTCAGCTTGCTGAGAACCGGAGTTAGTATTTATTGAGAATTTGTTGTGTGCCAGGCTTGGGCTAGAAGCTTTACGAATATTATGTCATTTAATTCTCTCAGCATCTCTGTGAGGTCGGTTTTGTCACAATTTGCAGAAGAGAAACAGGCTCACAGAGGTTAAGTGACTTGGCCGACGATGCATAGGTAGTTGGAATGCGAGCCAGGATTCTACTCCAAATCTTCTAATTCTTAATGCAGTGCTTTTCCCCAAAGACTGTGCTGTTTCTTTCAACATATTTTTATACAGTACTTCTCGTCTTTGCAAAACCTATGTCCATCCAGATTAATAGCGGTGGTGCTTATTTGGAATTTAGCATCTGCATTTGGATGTTTGGCATATCTGGAGTGAGGTGGAAGACGATGTATCTTTGTAACAATGCACTGTGAAATGATTTGCATGGTGAATCGTCTATATTCCTCTCCCATAAATTATTTTCATTTAAAACTTAGAAACAGTCTTAAGAGTGATCAAGAGATGTCATAAACAGGAGAGAACGCGGTTTTTCTGATTTGTGGATTTTTCTGATTTTTTGTGGAGAACTTGGACCAATGGGTAGAAATTACAGTGTGCAGAACTTGGTTAAATATGAAGAACTTATTTTTCTAGCACAGTTTAATAGTATAATGGGCTGCCTTATGAATAGTGGCTTCCTGTCACCGGAGTAGTCCAAGCAGAAACTGGTGTCTTAGTTACTGTAAAGCAGAGAGGTTAGAGATGTAGATTGGCTTCTTGTAAGCCCCATGAAACTCTATTCAAAATCATGTGTTTGTGCACAAGTGCGTTTTTCTGCGGCTCAGGCCCCTTCAAAAAGTAAGAACCCTTGTCCTAGTGGGCTTTCCATTGCAGAATTGCATGAGTGCTTGAAGATGAGGTAGTCATGAGACCAAGAGAAGCAAGGTGATTTGTCTCAGATCACACTGCTGATTGGTGATCAGGTAAGGATTAGAAACCAGATTGTTGGACTCTTGGTTCAGTGCTCTTTTTGCCATGTCTTGTTCTCTCCCCCTCTGCACTGGGTAGGAGATTGGATTCTGTTTAATAGCTGGTGAGATGCTGAGATGTTAAAACGCTTGAGGCAAAGTTGCTGAATTTATTCCCAAAATGTAACTGCTGTGAATTAAAATAAAATCTTAAGGCTCCCCCCACCGGCTGACTGAATGGACCCCCTTTTGGCCAAGGGAAAATCCTAAAACTAAATTTCCTGCCAGGAGGAGGGAGGTCTGACATGCCTCATCGTGGCCCCCTCCCTTCTTGGAGACATCCTTTGTAACCCATTTACAGGCCTAATGGTATGCAAAACAAACCCGCAGGTCCTCAATTTACACAACAAATATATGTCCTGAGGCTTTTCTCTGATTAACAAAGCTCCTTATCTTAAAACATTCCAAGCCTTTAGACAAAGCTTCATGTCTTTAACCAATTACAAGTCAGAGAATCTTTACACCTCTCCATAACCTGTAAGCTCCTGCTTCGAGACGGCCCACCTTTTCAGGCCAAACCAATGTATGCCTCCCACGTATTGATTTATGACTTTACCTGTAACCCCTGTCTCCCTGAAATGTATCAAACCAAACTGTAACCCAACCACAGGGAGTCCGCTTGCTCAAAGCTTCTTGTACATGGCTCCGGGTCATGGTCCTCAAATTTGGCTCAGAATAAATCTCTTTAAAATTATTTTACAGAGTTTGGCTACTTTTCCATTGACACTGCAAATAATAAATAAAACTAGCACCATGGCTACCTTCTCATTAGCCCCCATTCTGCTCACCAAAAAAACAGGCAATGAATTTCTCCAAAAGATGTTATAATAGATTACATTTCTTGGACAACTTGCCTGATGTTAGTCTTCCCTTTAAGGTATTTAGGAGCCTTAAGAATGTATTTTCTTTTTGTTCTTCAGCACCCAGGATGTATTGGACAGGATGTTTTCAGTTGTAAGTGACAGAAACCCAATTTAACATAGTTTACCAGAAAAGGGGAATTTATTGGCTCACATGATTAAAATTTCTAGTACCTTCTGGCATGGCTGGATTCAGGGAGGGACTCATGCTGGTCCCTTGACATCTCTCTGTGGTACTTTCCTCTCAGTTGGTTTTATTCTCACATTCAGGTGGTGACTCCAACAGCTCCAGGCTTCATCATCTCTACTGCTAGCAGTGTTCCTGGGGAAGAAGTTTCTTTTTCCCGTTTGCTTTGGCAAAAGTCATGAGATTGACTTTTATTGCCTGAGTTGGATTGTGTGTCCAAACAGAAAGCAATCACTATGAGCAAAGGTGTAGTTTGCTGATTGGCTAAATTATCACATGCTCACCTCCAAAAGTAGGGTAGGGGTAGACACAAGGAAAATCAGGGGTTATTGTCAGAAGGGTGATGGATGCCAGGTAGGCAAGAAGAGTAGCTGTCCAACCAGTGTGCCACCAACTTGGACCTAAGTTCCCCTTCAGTCCCATTTGTCCCATTTCCTTTTCATCCCACCTGAGGATGAGGCATATCAAGTTCTTTTTCATCTTAAACTCCCATTCACCTGAAGTCAGATCGCTCCTCAGCCTACTCTCTCAATCACAAAATGCCATTAACTTGCTCCCAGTCTTGGACCGCTGCTCACGCATTCATTCATTTAACAAATATTTATTGAAAACACAGCACATACCAGGCACTGCCCTAGGTGTTGAGAATAGAACAGTGAACAAAATCAAAAATCCTTGATCCTATGGAGCTTACATTCTAGTTGGGTTGGGGGCAAAAAATTAAAACATAGATAATACATTAGCTGATGGTCATAGGTGGAGAAAGATAATGCTGAGTAGAATAAAAGACTATCAGGAGGGGATGGGGATGGGAATGGACTGTTGTTTAAAATAGTGGTTGGGGAGGCTAGCTCAGCCAGAGGTGGGTTGGTGGTGGGGGCCAGGAGGTCATAGCTCCTTGAATGGATTCAAGTCCTTCCTCTGGACTTAGATGGGAAAGTATTCTCTGTTGAATATCTTATCATAGTTCTTCTGTATTTTCGAAACTTGGAAAGAGAGAAAGGAGGACCCCCTGGGTAGCCTGAGATGGATAGGAGTCTGGTCATGGTGTACTTTGTGACTAAGAATGCTTGTCCCACGCTGAGTTGAGGATGGCATCTGGAATATGTGAAGACTGGGCACTCCCTAAGTGTGGGGCTGTTCTCTGACCTACCTGGACCAAGTATAAAACTGCCCAGTGCATCGCAGCAGTGGTGGTGGTGGGGATTAAGTTGTGCCTGGTTTGGGCATCTCCTTCTTCAGACCATTTTTCTTTGCTCTGCCTTTTTTTTTTTTTTTTTTTGAGACAAAGTCTTGCTCTGTTGCCCAGGCTAGAGTGCCTTGGCATCAGCCTAGCTCACAGCAATCTCAAGCTCCTGGGCTCAAGCGATTCTCTTGCTTCAGCCTCCCGAGTAGCTGGAACTACAGGCACATGCCACCACACCTGGCTAATTTTTCTATTTTTAGTAGAGACGGGGTCTCATTCTTGCTCAGGCTGGTCTCAAACTCCTGACCTCAAGTGATCCTCCGGCCTCGGCCTCCCAGGATGCTAGGATTATGGCATGAGCCACCACGCCCAGCCTGCTCTGCCCTTTCTAGCTGTGTTTTGAGCAGCTTCTTTGTGTTAGGTCTGATAAGAGGGTGCAGTCATGGGTACATACATTAGGCAGAGTTTTTTGGCTAGAAGTGAGGGGACTTAATTAAAACCACCTTAAGAGACAAGCAGAAATGTATGGCTCATGTAATAACAAAAACCACACTCGCAGCTAGAGAGAAACTGGTCCTCTGTACAGCTGGGTCCAGGGATTCAAATCCCTCCTTCTTAGCTCTATTCTCTCAGGCTGGCAGTCCCTGTGGACCTAGAATTACAGCCACAAGTAGCCCAGGCTTACATCCTTACAATCTCCTGACCAGAGAGGAAAGAGTACTTTCCCACACCAACACCATGGAAAAAATCCCAGGGAAGAACTCTAATAGGCTGACATGGGGTCATGTGATCATTCAGTATTGTGATGAATAGTTCCTGGCAGAACTGCAAAGCTGGAATAGGGCAGGAGTAGTTCCACAAAAGAAAGTGGGTTCTGTTCTGGGAACACAAATAATATAGTGAAGCCAGTGACCCTCTGATCCTGCTTTCGAGAAACTTATTGTCTTCTGTGTGTGGTATGTGTGTGTTTGTATGTATGTGTGGTGGGAAATGTAAAACGAGTCCATAATGGCCATGGTACAAATGAAAAAGCAAGAGATGTGCCACAATAGATGTGCCGTCCCTCAATGGGCTATTACAACAGCTCCCTAATGGAGTCTTATCTTCCAGCCCCCCTCCCCACTTCCAGGTGCATCCCCCCACAGCCATCAGTATAAAGCACAGCTAAGGTGAGCTTATACTCTAGCTAATGAAATTTGAACAGCTCCATCTTGCCTGCACAATAAAGGGCAAACCTCTTTCATCTGCCTCACATTCTTCTCCACCCTCGATTCTTCACATCCCTGGACATCAGGCTCCGGCCACCCTGACCCTCTCACCGTCCCCCGCGAATGCAGCGCCCCATCACGTGTCCACACCTTTGTGCACACGTCTCCTTGTCCGTATTGGCTCCCACACTCCACTGCTTTGTCAACTCTGACCCAGAAAGCTCCTCTTTATTCTTCAAGATCTAACTTGACATCGACAGTTAAACGGATAAAGAAAACGTGATACATACATATTAATACAATGGATATTATTCGTTCTTAAAAACAAGGACATCCTGTCATTTGTGACAACATGGAAAAACTGGAGGACATCATGCTACTGAATAAGCCCCTTATGAAAGGACAAACACAACAATATTCCACTTATGTGAGGTATTTATAACAGT